ATTTGCAAGTCTTTTTATAATAATTATAATAATAATAATAATTTTTTTTGTAGACATAAATAGCATATTTATCATAGTTTGCATAATACATTAAAATAAAGAAATTCAAATTATAATTTTTAATAAATGTTTGTTGCTTTTTAAAAATATTTATATACAGTATATATTCAAAGATATTTGTCGAGTGATAAGCAATTTATAGTTAAATAAACCAATTTTAAAAAAATATTTATTTGATTTTTAAAATACAAAAAAATATATAGCGTAAAACAAATACTATTGCTTGGTGTATTTTTAGACCATTTAATATTAATTAAAAAAATTACTTAAATATGATTTACAAATGCATTATAATTTAATAACTTTATATAAATGATAAAATAAATATTTAATTTTATAATGTTTAATTAATAATAAATATTTATGATTATATTTCATAAATAATATTTGATTGAACTGCATTGATATTTTTAAAAAAAAATTATTATTAACAAATTATAACCATGTTAAAATGAAATTATTGTCACACAACAAGTAAGTATGATATACTGTATTTTTTATATAACTTCAAAGTTCAAACATATAATGCAAATATAATAAATTGTCTTATTTAAATATAATAATTGCATACAATGTACCATTGGTTCTCAATTTTTATTTTTTATAATAAATGTAAATAAAGTTTTATGTATATATAATTTTAGAAATAAAAAATTTAGCTTAAAAATTATATGATAATATTCATAATATGTATTGTATGATATAATACAGTACAATGTAATATATGATATATCATTTAAATTTTGCTGAAAACCAAATGAAATTTGAAATATATTTAAAATATATTACTGTATGTATATTTGAAACTTAATTTTTTTCATATTTAGCTTTAGGGCAAACTTTTCGTTCAATACTATATTTTATTTGTCGACATTACTGTATATTATCACATAAATAGATAATACTGTAAGCACTTAGATACTCATCATGTTATACACTGTTATAAGTTTAAATAAATAAAAAATTTTATATACAGTACTATCTACTGCAGTGTTTAACGTATTAATATTATGTTTATTATGTATAATATTTAACAACAACAACATAATTCATATTTAATAACAATATAATAATAAAAATCTTGTTATTATAAAATTTTATAAACTAATACTTAATTTAATTGAGATCTTAGCCACAAATTTATTTTTATATTTACAATATTATTAGTTGAACTATTTTATATAATAAAAAAACAAATATTAATTATAATAATATTATTATTAGAAAATAAAATTTAATACTTTATAATAGTTGATTATATTGATGATCATTAAAAAAAATATTATGTTTGAGTTATTGTAAATATAATAACAAAAAAATTAAAAGCTAACTTTACAATTAAATTATTTAATATACATCATTGAAACTATAGGAAAATATAGTTGGTTTTGAATTACATATAATTTAATATCTCAAGGATCTTGTAAATCAAATAAACGCATCATATATATATTGTAGTCAACGTTTACTATACACAGTATATAACTTTATATATATATATATATCTAAGATACTAAACTATATATAAATTATATACTCTCTCTCTCTCTCTCTCTCTCTATATATATATATATATATATATATATTATAAGTTATCGTATAAAATATTGAATTAGTGAAACATTAATAACTGTTTTTAAATGTTATTGAATTACACATCAAATATTCTGTGTATGTACAGTATGTGTCTATCTGTGTGTTAGTATCTGTGATACAATAATAATTATGACAGATAAATATAATTGTCATAAAAAACTAATTATTTCTATTTAATTTGTTATACAATATTTTTTTTATCTTATATGAGATTGAAGCCTATTGATACAAAGTATTACAAACAATATCTAATGATGTCTAAAACTTATTTATTTAAAAATAATAAGCAATTTTTTTGGGTCATATAAGCCATTGAATTCAATATTGATATAATAGATATTGAGATAAAAATTAGATTTTCAAAAAAAATTGTGTGTAACATAAATATAAATACATAATATTTCTGGTGAATCACATACACAAATAATTCTGTGATTAATATTAAGTAATAATAATAATAATAATAATAATAATAATAATATTAAGTAATAATAATAATAATAATAATAATAATAATAATAATATTAAGTAATAATAATAATAATAATAATAATAATAATAATAATAATAATAATAATAATAATAATAATAATAATAATAATAATAATAATAATAATAATAATAATAATAATAATAATAATAATAATAATAATAATAATAATAATAATAATAATAATAATAATAATAATAATAATAATAATAATAATAATAATAATAATAATAATAATAATAATAATAATAATAATAATAATAATAATAATAATAATAATAATAATAATAATAATAATAATAATAATAATAATAATAATAATAATAATAATAATAATAAAGAAATAATAATAATAAAAGCAAAACATAAATTTAATGGATTTCTCTATTTGTGATTATATTATATAATTTATTTACTATTAACAAAATTGCTATTATAAATGTGTGTATATATTAAGTGATATTTGTTTGTTTCTTAGTTATGTTATGTACGGTATAGTACAGTATATAAAATATGTGATGTAAAGTTGTTTGACACTTAACACATGCATAAAAACATGCATACATATACAATATAATTTATATATATATATATATATGTGTGTGTGTGTGTGTATATACAGTATATATATATAACTATTTATATATATATATACTTTATCTGTAATCTTGATAATAATGATTAAAGAGTGGAATCACTTAGACTACAATCAATTGTGACAATATATTAATATATTGAAAACTTAGCTAGTGCATTTACACTTATTTAATTAATGTTCTAATCAATTAATCTAACATAATGTATAGATATTTTTTCTAATATTTTATATTACTTTTGTAAGTTAATGTATAAGAAGTTTATATTAAATATATATAGAAATACAAGTTTTTAAAAAATATATGAATTTTAAATAAAATTGTAAATAATTATTACATCAATAGTCTTATTGTTTGTTAACTAATCAGAAAATATATTAAAGAAATGGTTTGATTCTTAGTTTTAATGTCTATTGTTGTTATTGTTGTTAAAATTGTTGTTAAAATTGTTGTTAAAATTGTTGTTAAAATTGTTGTTAAAAGTGTTGTTAGTTACCAAAACCAACAACAATAATACACATACAAACACATTGGCAAACATATAATTAAATCGCAAGAGATTTTCATTTCATTGAATTAAAATGTTTTAGTTGTTTAGTCGTTGTTCAACTCAATACACATTTCGCTATTAAACTAATCAAATATTTTTTTTCTTGTTGTCGTCGTTTATTAAGTTTCATTTTGTTGATTATTATTATTATTATCATTATTGTCTATTCATATAAATTTTTATTATATAAGCGCTTAGTATGTACAGTATGTGTGTGTGTGTGTGTGTGTTTTATTTAGATGTAATGTTGATTTTGGACATAAAATTTTATATTGCGTGCATTATCAATAAAAAATTCAAAAAACAATATTATTTTTCAATATACTTGTTGTGATAAGTTGTTGTTGTTGTTGTATCTAATGAATAACAATAACATGTGTACTAAATTGTATATAAATTAAATTAAAATAAAGTATAAATATTGCATAACATTGAGACACTGTACATAATGTATGCTTAATAATACATATATATTTATACTGTATAAAGTAAAAAACACTTAACACTTAGTTTATTAAACTAGACTAACATTTTATGAGTTAATCCTTAAATATATTATAATTTATAATGGATTTAGAGTTATTGAATTTATGATAATAATATTTTAATTGTAGTGTATATACTGTTGTTTTCTATATGCAATGTATTATTTTTTGAGTGTAACTTATATTTTATATTATCATACTGTACATACAGCATATTAATTTATACATATAAATTAATTAATTTTAAAACATGACTACATATTAATAAATATTAAAACAAATAGATTCCTCAAAAAATTAATTAATAATGATTAAATTTTTAGCATAATTGTTTGCATTATTATAAATACAGCAAATATATATTATTTATTTTTATATAATCATTGTTACTATTAATATTATATACTGTTAATGTTTTAAAAATGTTTTTTTATATGAATGATTTACATAATAAATTATTTAAATTAATAGATTAGTTTTTATTTACCTGTTGACACTATAAAGTTTATTATTTGTTTGAAAATAATAAATTGCCTCTAAAACTAAATTATAAATTTATTTCAATATGTATTCAATATTAATATTGTATACAGTATTACACATTTGATATTTAAATAGAGCCTGAATTTTTGCACTTTTAATTAGCACACAAAATTAATTAATTAACTATTTTTTTAGCTTTATGTTTCCACTTGAATACAGTTTGAAAATTTGTTTTCGATAAATTAATTGATCTAAAAATAATTTTTACACTTTAATTATATAAAACACTATTTTATTATATATATATACCTATTAAACTTCAATTATGCAATCTGTTATATAGAGTATTAATTATCGTAAAAAATTGATAAAATCATATCTTAGCATAAATCACATTATTATATTTTAGTAGTTAATATTAATGAATGAATCTAAAATTTTTATCTATAATTTATTTTTTTATACAAATTATATAAATGTTACTTAAATTAGTTTAATATTAAATATTAACTATTTTATCTAATATTTAACTAAATTATCTGAAAAAAATCAAAACCACAGTAGTTATTATATATATATATATATACAAAATTGTGTACAGAATATTCTGGTTATATCTTTTTTTTAAATTTAAATATAAAAAATATGTCAAACATAAATCAACATTATATACGGTAAATAAATTTTTTAAAAATTAAATAATAACAAACAAAACCAAAAAAATACAAATATTTTTTTACCTGAATTTCATGCATTTCATGCTGTGATTTGTTGTCCACTGATAGCTCTTCTTCCACTATTATCTCTTGTTTTTGTTGTACAGTTTGATAGTAAACCTGTTGTTGAATATATTGATGTCCTCTATATTTACTATTGTCTTCACTATTGATTTTCTCTTCTTCCACCACCTCTTCTTCTTCTTCTTTTTGTTGATACTGTTGTTGTTGTTGTCGTTGTTGTTGTTGTCTAACAATTTGCTCGGATTTTGTTTGTTTTTTATTATATGTTTTCTTTTCCTTCTCATACTTGTCCTCATCGGCATCGGTATCGGCGGCGGCGGCGGACACGTATTTGGGCGAAGATTTGGATCCGAAGCATGAAAGACATCCACAACAACCACATGAAGCCGTTTCGTCAGAATTCACGGTTGACTTGTTTTTAGTCTCAAAAATTGCACAAAACTTAATGTAAATAATTTTGATATCAATGATTTATGTAACAAATTATTTATTATAAATATATAATAAATCAAATTATATAATACTTATTATATTTTTAATGATTTAGAATAATTGTTAGATATTAAAATCAAAAATTATAACTAATTAATTAAACATACAGTATTTTAAACAATTGTGTTATATATTTAATAAATAATTTATGTACACAAATGTTTTTAATTAAAATATTATATTATTTATACTTTTTTATATATTAATAATGTATTTGTATGTAATTTAAATCACACGAACTTCACATTGAAAAAAATCACTTGAATTAAAAGTAAATGTTTATTAATGATTATCACAATTAAAACATGTGGTCATTCATTCAACAATAACAAAAAAATGTTAATTCATGTGAACTATTGTTATTTATAGAATCAATTTTAGTTTTATCATGATAATTTTCCATAAAATAAAATTATTATAAATATTTATTAGTCAATTACAATAAAAACTAAAAATAGCATTTAGTTATAATAATAATAATTTAAATACCAAAATTATGTTTAATTATATATTTGATGATTAAGATAATGATGATGTAAACTAGTTTATTAAGTTTATTATATACAAATGTTTATTTTTTTGTTTCAAGTTTTAATATATTTATTTATATACTAAATAAAATAATTTAAAAGTCATAATTCAAAAGTATATAATAATAATTATATTATATATTAATATAATTAGTTTGAAAATTGAAACTATTTTTTAAAATTAACTATTTATTTAACAACTATATACACATGTTTACAATACATATTATATCAATATATAAGCGCATAAAAGTATAAATTAAATTTTATAACATTTGTAAGTAATGTTTTATTTATTGAATATATTGAATAATAAAATATTAATTACACCATTAATTTAATAATTTTTCATTTTAAAATTATTATTTATTTTAATAATAAAAATAATTATATATTGAAAAATGTGAGAATCAGTTGCTTTTTTTTCTTTGCCAACTGAATACATGTAGTCGTGAGGAGCGCTTAGAACACAGTGTTTGAGAGAAACTACTGTGTCTTTCAATGTAATTGTGTATGTATTGAATGATATGGTATGGATTGTATGACAACACACACATACATACTATACATACATACACTCATATACGCATACATACTGTACAATGTACATACATATACACACATACATATACACACTCATATAGTTATAATAAACACAACATTGCCATTCAATATCAAGCATACAGTCCAATATTACTGGTGCAAACCTTAATCCCGAAGTACTATATGCTATTGTATGGATATATGTATATGTGTTTGCGCACAGTCTCCACAGCATCCGATAGGCACTACTATCTACCCGTGCGTCAGCTAACACACACACACACACACACACACACACACACACACACACACACACACACACACACACACACACACACACACACACACACACACACACACACACACACACACACACACACACACACACACACACACACACACACACACACACACACACACACACACACACACACACACACACACACACACACACACACACACACACACACACACACACACACACACACACACACACACACACACACACACACACACACACACACAATATTATTGCCATCAGTTCATACTAAAAGTATATTATGCACTGTTATGTAATATGAAAATATATAGAAAATTATTTTTATTTTTTTCAAACAGAATCTCAGTGTTTAGTTCAATATTAGAGATCTGGTAATTGAGCCCCGGGTTAGTCAGAGAGAGAAAAAAAGAAAATACTTAATATAATTACTGTAATATTAATACAGTATTATTATTATTATTATCCTAATTGTAAGTGTACAGCAGTATCAGTATTAGACAAAATATTTTTTTACCATTACTACCATAGAATTTATTTTTTTTAAATATACAGTATAACCTCAACAAATGCTAATATATACGGTATTTAATGTACTAATTTATTATATATTAATATTATATATAATACATATAATACAATATTATATATAATATTATATATTTTATATATATAAATTATAAAAATATTTATAAAAAAATTATTATAAAATATATTTAACGGTTATATAAATTTTTTTTTATAAATCAATTACCTGTTCTCATGTTTTCTAAGTTGAATAGCATATGGTTTCTTAAATATACAAATTATTGATTATATAAAATCTAATATTATTAACTAAATATTTTACTGTAATCTTAAAATTAGCTTTTTTTAATAAAACTAAACTATAAAATAAAAATAAAATAACAAAACCAATTGTATTCAACACAAAAAATTATTTATTATTTTAATCAAACGTTATTTCAAAAATAATAATGTGTTCAACCAAAGTGTCATCAACGTCACCCCTATTGACCACAACGTGTGATCCCGATACCGACCCCTACACAACAGTGGCATCAGTTCATCGGCGGGAAATGCGTACCGTATATATGAGTCGTACGCGTGAAATAACATCTCGCGAAACTAATCTCTGGCCAAATGATATCATAAAACAGATGATGTGATTGTATTGGATTAGAAGAATAGATACGAGTCAATACCGGCGCCGACACCCGACTCGCGTCGAATCCAATCACCCGTATGAATGTTGATGACGTTTCCCACCAAATCTGATTGTCGGTGTCGTTGTCGCCATAAATAATCCATCGCTTTGCGTGCCTTTAACTTAATTATACAAAAATATAAAACAAACAAAACAATCAATTATCGTACAAAATATTAGTTATGAAAATATTAGAAATAACATAAAAATAAACTGCAAATCACTTCAAATACTGGATCTCCTGTGAGAGGACTTAATGCGGCAAACTCTAGGATCATAATCCAAGCGCATGACGTGCACGTCTCACGCGCAAAGCCCAAGTTATCAGATTTGAGGCCATATTTGAGATTAATCTAAAATCACAAAAAACAAACAAAACATATGATTATTACTTAAAAAATACACCAATTGTTATGTCATACTCTTGGATGAGGTATTCCCGTGGTTGTATTAAACGCGGGTAACAACCGATAGCCGAGATCTTTGGCCAATTCGAGCAGTTGTCCCGAATACCAGGCCATCAGCTGATACTTTTGGTTCAACAATTTCGGCTAAAATATGAGCACTGATTGAATTAGATGGACAGACACTACAAAACACAGACATACCTGAGCTGTATTCGCTCCTCATGTGTAATACAAGTCATCAGTTGATACAGACATACAATTATCACTAATTGAGTCCACATATCAATTGATTTATACCGATGATGACGACGACAACAATTACGATATGTAGTCACCGATGATGTGGCCATTGATGGTAATGTTGTTATTGTTTTTAACCAACACATTAGTATTGTGTGGAACTGTTATGAGTGACAATTAGACCAGTGATGGACACAACATAACACATGATTATCTGTTCATTGAGTGACACATCGATTAAAAACATAAACAAATAGTCAATCAATTGATTGAATGAATGAATGAGTGATACAATTGTTGACACATTAACTGTTGTATAGACTGTGTATGTGTTGTATTGAATGCCATCTATTGGTTAAATACTACTCACGTGACACACTTGTGGTCACTCTATGTTGTTGTTGTTGTTGTAGATGTTGTTGTAGACCCAGAGGACAGTCATATTTATACAGTATGTGAGTGCTATTCACGTTTAAGTCATATATAAATTCATATATACTGTATATAACTTAATATTATTTTTTTCTAAAGATATATAATGTCGACAATAGTTGAGAAAAAACTTTTGAAAAATAAAAAAACTGATAATAAATCATTGATTAAAATAGCAATGAAAAATAGTCAAAGGGAAAGGTAGGATATAAAAACGACTGTCCATTACTAATAACCATTTCATAAACAAATTTTCAGATCAATTATGTCCTCAACCACTACTCAATTGGATGTATTCAAAGCATTAGTAGGAGATTCCCTTATAGGACTCCTTAATACTAATGATGAATGTTTTAGGTATACCATTATAATTATAATCTATAGATTAAATATTTTATTTGTTAATTATATCCTTGTCCTCCTATAAGTTATTTGGCCAACAAATTAAATTTGCAATTAACACCAAATCGAAAGGAAAGTTTGATAAAGTATGTTGTAAAGCACCGGTAGATTATTTTTTTAATTTTTATATTGTTTTATTATAGTATCATATCTCAAGATATATCAATGGCCTCAACAATCATGTCGGACACTACGAGTATGGATAGTATAGAAACACATACTTTAGATGAATACATGACCAGTCCTAATGTCTCACAAGGATCTGATGAGAGTATGCGTACCGAAGTAACAAATATATCGGTTGATTAAATTTTTACGTTAGGGTCGGGTCGAAAAAATTACTATAAAAAAAGTATACAATACTAACACATTATAAACACATTTATTTTAATTGGAAATCAAGTGATATCTGCGCCCAAAACCTTCAGTAATGTCCAAATATATGGCGATCTTAATACCGAAAGCTTTGATTCTCAACTTATAAACGACGTTCATATGAAAGATCTGTACGAAAATACTCTTCAATACGACAAACCACAGACAGTGACCGCACGTCTTAATGTCGACACAATTATGATTCCGAAATTGCGTATAAATTTGAAGGAATTTGATGCAAATGTTTTGAAGACATTTGGAGATCAAGTAATTACTGGTGACTTTACATTTGAAAGCGATGTTTATTTTGATAAGGATTTAAATGTTTTGAATAAACGCATTAATGGTCTTCATTTGGTCAACGATTTAATGTTAAGAGGAAGAGATAATGTGATTACAGTTCCAAAGATTTTTGCCGAAAACATTGTCGTCACTAATAATATGATCATAAAAGACGGCAAAACCATCAATGGTGTGGATCTGTCAGAAATGATGAAGAATGCAGTCATGAAAAGCAATGCCAATAATAATATCATTGGACCAAAACATATGAATAGTATAGAAGTGGATCACTTGATAGTTAATCTTTTAAATGGATTCAATGTCAGCGAAAAAACTTTTCTATTAAATTATGGAAATCAAGTGATTATCGGAGAAAAAATATTAAATCATGATTTGATAGTCAATGCAGACATTATTTCAAAGACTATTAATCACATAATAATTGGAGATTTGGCACAAATTCAGACCTCCTCTGACTGTTAACAATGTCCGCGCTTTCGGTAAAGTCGATGGCGTAGATCTTAACGCTTACTTTATATTATTTTTTTTCATTTTTATAAACTTATATTAACTAACTATTAATAAACTAATACATATGACCCGACCCGACCCCCGAACTACTGTATAAATAAAAAATATTTTTGAAATTTTCTTAAAATTAATACTTTCTGATAAATGTGATTACAATAACTGAGAGAAACTAATGTGTCTTTCAATGTAATTGTGTATGTATTGAATGATATGGTATGGATTGTATGACAACACACTCACAATATTATTGCCATCAGTTCATACTAAAAGTATATTATGCACTGTTATGTAATATGAAAATATATAGAAAATTATTTTTATTTTTTTCAAACAGAATCTCAGTGTTTAGTTCAATATTAGAGATCTGGTAATTGAGCCCCGGGTTAGTCAGAGAGAGAAAAAAAGAAAATACTTAATATAATTACTGTAATATTAATACAGTATTATTATTATTATTATCCTAATTGTAAGTGTACAGCAGTATCAGTATTAGACAAACTATTTTTTTACCATTACTACCATACAGTACAGTAGAATTTATAAAAATATATACAGTATAATCTCAACAAATGTTAATATATATGGTATTTAACAATTCATTATATACCATAGTATATAGCTGACAATAATTACCGTAAATAATAAAAATTAAAAACTAAAATATAGTTTATAAAAAAATTATTATAATATATTTAACGATAATATAAAAAACTTTTATAAATCAATTACCTGATTTTTAAGTTGAATAGCATTTTCTTAAATATACAAATTATTGATTATAAAATCTATTATTATTAACTAAATAATTTACCGTAAAATTAAAATTAGTTTTTTATAATCAAAACTAAACTATAAAATAAAAATAACAAAACCGATTGTATTCAACACAAAAAATTATTTATTATTTTAATCAAATGTTTATTTCAAAAATAATAATAATGTGTTTAAAGAAGTCGTGCCTTCGGGATTCTGGTAGTGAATCGTGTCTTATTGAACGATCGGTCAAAGCGTACGGGAAGCGGGAACTTGATCTTCGAGTCGTGGAACTGCTTCATATGAGCTCTTCGGCATTTGGCGGCCGGGATCTCTTCAACGCGGATAATCTGAATCGAGTCGGCTCTGGCCCGATGTCTGGCACCCATATCGCGATCTGAATACAAATAAAAACAATATATCATCGTTACAGTTAAACAATGGGTTTTAGACAGTATGGATGCTATCACTTACAGCAAGAGGTGACTGCGTTGGCCACAGAAATGTCGCGGTATTCCCGATACATGTTGTGAGTACCGGTACGCGAGTTATAGCGAAGCCAAACGCCGTAGTTCTTGACCCGATCGGCCGCCCGATTCTCGTGAACCTCTTGGATGTCCACAATTTCGCCGTTAGCTTTCTTCACTTTGCGCAGACGTCGGGTAAAGTACCAGAAACGCGATTTGGCCACAACGTGATCGGGAGCAAAGATTGTCATCCGATAGAGCGGCGGTGTCGGGTTGGCCGCATCGGGCAGATGGCGACCGATGATACGGTACTGACGCAACTGGTTATCGATTGATTGATAATTAAAAAAAAATTAATTAATTAGTATTTCATTTGATTTGTTGGCAAAAAAACAACAGAAGACATGACAGGAAAACAATCAATAGTCGACTGAATAGCGGAAAAACAACAATCAATTAATTAAAAGACATATCAAAGATAACACACAATATGTCAAACCTTTCTATCGTAACCCTTGACCTCAAGGTTTGCATTAGAAAAAGATAGTTTTAATTAGTTAATAATAATAATAATAATAATAGTTAATACATACACATGATATGTATGGGGACTAAACACATGCAAATCACTCAGTGAGAGACACACACAACACAAACACACTAACCATTCAATCAATACATTATTAATCACCGATTCATAGGCCTAACTAATTAACTAAACTATTGGGTGATTATAGTCTTAAATATTAATACAGTCAATAGATTTTTAATTGTAATTAAATTTTAGTTTTAAATTTTACTTACAGTTCCGCTGACTTTCATGTTTGCCGTAGAAAAATAAAGAGACCGTCTATTGTATGGGAAACGGATATATCAAACACAACACAACACACTATTACTAAATATAATATACACAAAGTATGTCATATAATAATACCTAATAATAATATCTAGTTTTTATAAATACAAAAAAAACATAACATATAATTATAATTAAATAATATTTTTTTAAATATTAAATTAATTGACTAAAGTTTTATTAATTGATATTATTTTTATTATTGTAAATTAGGTTTATATTAAACGTATTATTAGTCAATACTGTTTTTATAGCATTAAATTTTAAAGTATTTAACACATAATTTAGTCCATTAACGCCATCTATAGGTTTATATCTATTATTAATAACTTTTTATTTGTTATACAGTGTATTGGGATATCAATAGAAAAAAATAAAAATAAATATTTATTACAAAACAAACAAAAAAAAACTTTTTAAAACTACACTAATATGTGATTAGTTACTAACAAAAATGTAATTTTTATAATAAATTGTTAATAGGATTTAATTTTTTAATTTTTTTTATAAAAGTTTTTATTTCTGTATTTAATTGAATTTATATATATATAATAAAATAAAAATTGTTTAAAAATTAATTAATTTACATATAAAAAATAATAATCACTAATATTCCTATCAAAATAACCTATAATAAAGTGATGACAATAGTGCAACAATAATATATTGATTGATTGATATAACAATACTAGTAATCACATATCACTTGTATGTAACAAATGAATTGATTTTGCGGTTCATATAAATCATATCATATATGCGTTTTCAAGAAGTTGTGTTTTCAATTGTTCCCCAATGTTGTGGACAATAGTTTTATCGGTGTCTGTTGTTGTCGCTATCAAAGTGGCAACTTGTGAACCGCTGCCGATCGAGATTACTGGCCTCGGATGGCATTCACCGCAAGCAATATTCCCGTCCCGCTATTTCTTTGTCTGGAACAAACCGGTTTCGGCTGTGGTAATCACTTCGCCGGCCGACGACAGGGCGTGTCGTGTTTGGCAACAAGTGTTCAATGAGACCAACTTTGCCGACAAATTGGTGACAATAGTACGCTATAAACTTGTCGGCGATGTTTGTCGCGGCGGTATTCAAATCGATGTCTATGGCAACGATCAAAGTAGTTCACAACCAATGGCTCGACGAGTGGTAACAGAAGATATCTGGAGTGAGAAGTGTGTCTGCAGAAGACATGATTGGCCACAGCTTATGAAATGTCGCGAAATGAGTCAACAATTTAAACAAATAGACAGTGATTTGAGGTTTTTGTTTAATAAAAAAAAGATAAACTATATATCAGTAGATAATCTTTTAATGTCTTTTAATTTAAATGTTTTTTTTAATTGTCAAATGATTTTCTTTTGTTTTTTTAGTATATTCAATACAAGTGATGGCATCGACTTTGACAAAGTATTAGATGAAATGAAGTCAAGATTTGCAGAACACCGGAGATCTTATTCATTCTGTCACTATCAGGTCATTAACAATCAGGTATCAGACGATAATGTCTTAAAATTATATATATATTTACCGGTAATATACTGTATAAGCGATTAAAAAAATAATAATTTATGAAAAAACACTTCAAGGCTTACAAACACTGTTATGGAGAGTACATAGGATTTGCACAATTCTGGGATGAAATGTTGCGATCATTGCTATCGAAAACCTATATTCCCGACATAGAGTTTGTGGCCAATCTGGGCGATTGGCCGCTCAGCGACAAACGCACCAAACCGCCATTGCCAGTGATGTCGTGGTGTGGATCCACCGATTCCAACGACATTGTATTACCCACTTATGAATTGACTGAATCAACGCTTCAGATGCAGGTATTTCCGGATATATATACAGTATATATTTTTGTGGCTAAATTCGGTCATTTAATTATTATCATTATTATAGGGAAGGGTTACTCTCGATGTACTTTCTGTGTTTGGCAAACAATCGGTCAAATTTGACGACAAAAAAGAAATGCTGTTCTGGAGGGGTCGCGACTCCAATGAGAATCGTCTGAAATTGATTCGGTTGAGCAAAAACCATACGTCACTTATCAATGCCTCGTTGACCAACTTTTTCTTCTTTCGGGACCAAATGGACGAATTGGGTCCAAAGTCGCCGTATGTATCTTTCTTCGACTTTTTCCAATACAAATATCAGCTGAACATTGACGGCACTGTCGCTGCCTATCGACTGCCATACCTGTTGGCCGGCAATTCGGTTGTCTTAAAGCAAGAATCAAAGTACTATGAATTCTTCTATCATCTCTTGAAACCTGATGTCCATTACATTGCCGTTGATAAAGAACTTAATAATTTGGTCGATAATATCGACCATTTAATTAAATTAAATGATAGCAATAACGGTAGCAATAATTTATGGCAATTGATAACTGAGTCGCGACAGCTTGTATTGGACAACCTGTTGCCGCAACACATCTACTGTTATCACATGAATTTCATCGATAGATACTCTTCTCTACTTAAAAACAAAATTGTTTTGAGACCTGAAATGACTAAAGTGTTTGTTGACAGCGATACTGATTGTCATTGCGATGATCAACAACAACAACAAGCGGATCAACTGAGAGATAGACAAGAATTATGATAAATATATTATCATAATATACCGGTAATTATTAGAAAAAATACGAAATTATGTTTTGTTCACAATTTTTAAAAATTTAATTCAATATACTGTACAATATTTATATATAACTTACAATTGATTTTTATACACTTTTTTGTTTGTTATAAATAATTTTTTTTATCGTCAAAACAATTATTAAAAATTTATTTATAATCTGTTAATTCGCTAATATGTATATATAAATCATAATAAATTATTATTTTTAAAAAATAAAATAAAACTATATTTATAACAAAAATACAAGTGTGTCACCAATCAATGGGTTATTATCTAAACAATTGATCCAAAGAAAAAACAAAAACAAATACCACTCATAATAAACTCATTGAAGGACTTATATGAGCGTCGATTAGCCACTTCTTGAATGCCATGACATTCACTAATGGATTACTACAGACACCGAATCTGGAGTTGAGTTTGTCGTCGTTGAGAAACTCAATCAAATGATTGATTGTCTTCTTCACGTCTGACAGTGTCTGCGACGCGCGAAACACTTGACGTACGATTGGATCGACGTTCTTGTATTGATGTTTTGTCATCACGTCTTGCATTGTCTTAACCGTCGATTTGAACACAGAATCCCAAATATCTTCTACGATCTTATTGTCTAACGTTTTAAATTTATTGTTCACATAATCAGCGTATTTGTTAGATATGTCGACATTTAACACATTCAGCAGTTTGTCGATATCAATGGCTTCGGGCGATGAGCTAACAGACAGCACATCGTCGGTAATGTCGCGCACATGTGCCACACCTTTGATGGCATTTGTGCCACTGTTATCACCACTGGAATCACTATTAATAAGTTCAATGTCTGTATCACTTTCGTCGTCAACGCCAACAAAACGTTGCGTTTCACTAGTGTTACCACTTTGAACACTAAGCGACACAATGAGGTGCGGATGCTGTTCAATGGCCGCCCGAAGTATCTGTCCGTCTTCCCAGTAGACAAACAGTACGGCAATGTCCACGTCGTCGTGTCCATCGCCAGACATGGCAAACATTGGCGACGTCTTCGAGCTCGAGTTGACTACATTATCGATGACAATGACGGCAATACCGCCTGCCTTTTGGACGTTACGTGCTTTGTCCACAAACATACAGTCTCCGCGCTCGACAACTGCTATCTTACCATTAACTTGTAAGCCATTCTTCAGCGGCCATTTGCACGCATTCAACGGATCCATAAGAACAATATTTCCATCGATTGAATCATCGATATTACCCAAATCAAGACCAAACTGTGCGGGACCGGCACTTAACACCATTTTGATCATCAAATCACTGGAACTGCTTTTCGGTAATGTAAACGATATGGATCTCAGTTTCTGTTCATTTTGAAGCAGTTGTTGTTTAGATAAGGCGATCATCTCTTGCATAAATTGTGTGCCATCTTCAGCGTCCTCAACACTGGCAGCGGCAGCACTGTTATGAACCAATTGGACCCTTCCATCAGCCAATACTACAACAGTTATTCCCATTTGTCTTACAATATCCAAGTGTTCCGAATTAGTCGCTGAAAATTCTGAAGCCTTTAGCTTAGGATATCGTAAATTCTTTGATCGAGCGATCGGTTGCTTAATGTTAGGCGATTTGCTGCTATTGTCGACAAAGTTCTTCATATTAGTGCGAATATTATTGCCATAGTTTAGTCCGTAATGTTTTCCCAGAAGTAGTCGAGTATTAGGACATTCACGACCATATCGATCGTCACTATAAGACAAAAATGTCTGCATTTTAATCGATTGAGACGTTTTACTTCCAGTTATGTTAATGTTGGCTAAAGACAGTGGCAAAAGGTGTGCTTCAGTGGTAAACACAAACTCATCCAAATCTAATTCAATGTCCTCTTTGTATGCAAACAGTAGATATAAATACTTTAATGTTTCGGCCAAAACAAATGAATCCATACGGTCTTCGTGACCACCGGTGCGCACATCTTTTACGGACGCAAAACCGCACTCAACGCGTGCGTACTCTTGCAAAGTTCGGAGCACTTGTTTGCCAACTTCCAGATAGTGCGGATCACCGGTTGCTTTAAATAGAAAATAAGTGCTCTCCAGAAACTCTGGCCTCAGTGGATGATGAGCCCAATGCACTGTAAAATCGGTGGTAAAGGCTTCTGGTAGGAAACGATGTTTTTTCATAACCTGATAGAGCATCTCATGAGTTTCTATGGCTGGCTTGAGATCGCCTTTAAGCACTTGTAGTCCCGGCCAAAAAGCTAGCAACGAGTCCATGAAGTTCTTAGCCTGACTGTGCGGTCGATGCATCATTACATCAACCAGAAGCGGGCCCTGACTCACGTACTTCATAACACCGGCATAGTGTCGGTTGAATCGCTCCAAATAGCTTTCGTCACCCAACAGTATATAAGCCTTTAGACAGTACTCGTAATACGAGTCAATACCGGCGCCGACACCCGACTCGCGTCGAATCCAATCACCCGTATGAATGTTGATGACGTTTCCCACCAAATCTGATTGTCGGTGTCGTTGTCGCCATAAATAATCCATCGCTTTGCGTGCCTTTAACTTAATTATAAAAAAATAAAACAAACAAAACAATCAATTATCGTACAAAATAGTTATGAAAATATTAGAAATAAATTAAAAATAAACTGCAAATCACTTCAAAAACTGGATCTCCTGTGAGACGACTTAATGCGGCAAACTCTAGGATCATAGTCCCAGCGCATGACGTACACGTCTCACGCGCAAAGCCCAAGTTATCAGATTTGAGGCCATATTTGAGATTAATCTAAAATCACAAAAAAACCAAATAAAATATATAATTTTTACTTAAAAAATACAACAATTGATATCTCATACTCTTGGATGAGGTATTCCTGTTGTTGTATTAAACGCGGGTAACAACCGATAGCCGAGATCTTTGGCCAATTCGAGCAGTTGTCCCGAATACCAGGCCATCAGCTGATACTTTTGGTTCAACAATTCGGCTAAAATATGAGCACTGATGAGACCGCCGACCATTCGGATGTTGGTCTCGAACACAGACACCACAACATCGGTGTCAAAGTGCACGTCCCGGACGACCCGTTTGACCGAAACCTCAAATTCGCTATAATTTCCAAATATCTGATATAAAACAATATAATGAAGATATTATCAGCTGATGAACGACTCAAATGGATTTATAATAATATAAAATATGAATAATTTCCTAAAGACTGACCACAAGTGAGTCCAATGTGTCGACTAAAGTGAGCGAAAAGTTACCCAAAGCGTCGTCGACGTCACCCCTATTGGCCACACCGTGTGAGTCCCGATACCGACCCCTACAGGAGAGTGGCATCAGTTCATCGGCGGGAAACGCGTACCGTATATATGAGTCGTACGCGTGAAAGAACATCTCGCGGGACTCATCTCTGGCCAAATGATAAAACAAATGATGTGATTGTATTGAATTAGATGTACAGACACTACAAAACACAGACATACCTGAGCTGTATTCGCTCCTCATGTGTAATACAAGTCATCAGTTGATACAGACATACAATTATCACTAATTGAGTCCACATATCAATTGATTTATACCGATGATGACGACGACAACAATTACGATATGTGGTCACCGATGATGTGGCCATTGATGGTAATGTTGTTATTGTTTTTAACCAACACATTAGTATTGTGTGGAACTGTTATGAGTGACAATTAGACCAGTGATGGACACAACATAACACATGATTATCTGTTCATTGAGTGACACATCGATTAAAAACATAAACAATCAGTCAATCAATTGATGGAATGAGTGATACAATTGTTGACACATTAACTGTTGTATAGACTGTGTGTGTGTTTTAGTGAATGCCATCTATTGGTTCAACACTAGTCACGTGACACACTTGTGTCCACTCATTGTTGTTGTTGTTTAAGTGTATGTTTACATTGAAGAGGACAGTCATACCATTAGGTGACTCCTAATTCATGTTTAAAACACATATATATAACTAAATGTTATATTTTTCCATAAGTTAATCGGAATGTCAGTAATGGTTGAGAAAAAAGTGAAGAAAAATAGGAAAACTACAGACAATAAGTCATTGTTAAGGATTGCTGTTACTAACTGTCGAAAGGACAGGTAGTATAAAAGGGTTGACGTTTTTAAATAAATTATTCATTTAATATTTCATTTCATTTAAATAGCAAATTTCAAATGGCATCACAAGTAACTGATGAGTCGTTAAAGGAAACACTGATATACAAACATATGGATCTCTTCATAGATTATCTCAAGAGTGACAATAAATTTATAAAGTTATTACAATTTTATAATAATATACAGTATTTCATGACTAATATAATGCATATCCATGTCTATAGATATGTCGGGGAACGGCTCAGGAGTGAGTTAACCGTTGAGGCCTTAGATACGTTATTACGGTATTGTTTTTGACTACCGGTATATATATATATATATAATTAATTTTAATGTATTTATGTTTAATTATTAGCACAATGACTACAAGTACTACTCCTGAAGGAATGTCTATATCAGACACCACGACATCGCCATTAGACGACAATATGTCAAGTGATGAATCTAATGGTTCGGATTCAAGTATGAGAACTGAGAAAACAGAGATATCAATTGATTGAATGGTGTGGGTCGGGTCGGGTCGGGTCGGGTGAAGTCGTATTTTTAACAAATCTACTAATTCTAATAACAAGTTTGTAAATAACTAACCGAGTTTGAGGACAAACAGATTGGTTTAGTCCAACAGGCATTGGATCAACAAAATTATCGTTTGGCTTACTATGAATTGAATGCTGTCATACCATTTGGTCCGCCACTCCTGTCGTATCAAAATACACGTTCACAACATCTGTTTATTGTCGGTCAGTATCTGAACAATGGATGTCAAGAAATTAATGTTTACACCAATACTGTCAGTGGCTATAAATTGTTGACAAAACTATACGCTATCGATACCAACATTATAACAAAATTTGTGTCAAATGGACATCACTTTGTCATAGTAGCCAACTCTAGGAATGTTCACAATTGGGAACAATGTCTTAAACTTAACAAAATGTCTCAATTCTTACAATTCGGAAGCGGACCACAGATTCATCAATTGTTTGTCTTCGATGGCAATCAACTCATATAAAATGATTACTTCAATACATAGTCAAAGTGTTTCCGAAATCAAAGTTGTCGTTCAATATAATAAAAACACATGTCTTTTGATGGCCATACCTATAGTCAACAGTTTTGTTAAGTCAATCATCAGTTTTGTGCCGCAATTTTATTGATAATAAGATATTTCTGAAAGAAATGGTTCCATTGCCGGGAAGAAATCAGGTATGAGTTCGTGAAATGTATTAAATTTATGTATTTATTTAACTTTTAATTTATTTGTATTTAGTATTCAATTGTTTCGAGAACTACATATAATCGCACTCTAATGGCTTCAATTAATTAGTGGCAAACAAGACAAGTGATGTCAGACATTGTGATCATCGACTGGTCGACACAATTGTCTCATTTTTGATCATTCCTTTCAAACCATACGATTCCTCAATCCCTTTGTCATACATTTGTCATACATTTTGTTGAAATTGCTTTATAATGAATGCATATTTCACATCTTCATGTATATTACATAATACATACAAATAGATATTTTTAATGCTTGTAATTAACATTTGTTTTAAAATATTAATATTGTAATTATTATTATTCATATATAATACGACTCAACTCCTTCCCAACCATCTATCAATTAAAATAATTTGATTTGATTTTAATAAATTTTAACAAAACAAATAAACTAAGCTTTCAAACGAAATATTGTTGTTTTTTTAAATTTTATTCGACAATTTGTACAATAATTAATGTTTTTTTTTAAATTTATTTAACAAATAAAAATAACATTAAAATATATTTAATAATAATAATAATGAATCAAATGTTAGGGTCTGTCTATGTATTAGTACAACTGTACTGTATATTCAATGATGACAATCATCATCAGTGTTGTTGAGTGGCCACCACTTCTGTCATATATATTGTTGTACTCCTCTGTCTTGTGCTAACCCTTTCCAATGAACGTCTCAATAGATATCGTATCTAATAATAAATATATAATTTTTAAAATTTATTAGAAATTATTTATATATCACTTCAGTTATATATTCAACATAAAAATACTTATTATTTAAAAAAAATTTTTTTATAAATATTCTAATTTCACATGGATGCTTTATACAATTAATAAAAGCTATCAAATTTTATTAATATGTTTAAAAAATATATACTTTATATACCTCATGATTGGCAAAACAAAATATAATAGAAACGGCACATCCTTGGAGTCCATCCAAAGTTGACGATAGATAGTGATAGACCTCCGAAAACCAACAGCTCCTAAATATTTGATTCAAATAATAAAAAATAATAATTTTGTATTTAATAGAAGATATAATACAATACAATAAATAATTAATTGCATAATTAATAGTCTCTCTCTCTCTCTCTCACTGATACAAAATGTGATTACAATAACTGTAACACAATATTACTTACTCGATGTTAGGTCTGTAGACAACAAACAGATAGTGGAGGCCATAGAGTGGTAGTAATAGTATAGCGGCTCTGAGCGAAACAATAATACTTTGGCGTGTTATCAGACCACCACTGCTGCCGCCGCCGGTATGATTGACCGACAAATGATGTCCTCCGCCACCGCCGCCACTAGAGTTGGTGTATTGGGTGCTCGTCGTTGACGAGGCTTTGATACAAAGCACCCGCAATAATAGCACTAAGAAAACACAGTTTACCTGAAAAAATAAATTTGTAATACAATTTGATAATAATTATTAGATTTAATAATATGCGATATTTATTTATAATTAATTATAATTTTAAAAAAATAATAAAATTAACTATAAAAATTTTTATTCATAAAAATTCGTAGTAAATATAATTATTTATTTTATTATTATTTTTTTTTGATGATGAGATCGGTTTATAAAATAATAAATTAAATTTTTAAATCTATTTTTAATATCAATCTTTCAATTACTAGTAAATATACTATTTATATATATACCTAATAATATATAGTACTAATATATTATTTCATTACATTCAATCATTAAAATTTTACCCATAAATACTTGAAAAAAATAATAATTTTATTGAATGATTTGTTGTCGTTGTCTAAATAAATAATTATATATTAAAAAAAAAAGTTTATTACTTTACAAACAATAGTCAACGTAAGTCACCTCAAGTACTGTCCGCTAAATACTTAAGTTTGAGGACTATTGTACGTAAGTAATAAACTTTTTATAATAATAGTAGTAATAATAATATTATTATATAATCTGGAAATATAATATAAATCACACAATAATATATAAATAAATTAGAAATAGTTTAAATTGTGAAACTTTGTAAAATTTTTTTGAAGTTCAAACTAAATTCAATTTAGAGATTAAATACCTATTTATTATTGACTTATTTATATTGAATAGTTGTATTAGATTTGATGGATTATATCATATAATTTATATGAAACCCCATATTGACGGTTAGAGATTACTTTACATATAATTTAATAGAATATAATAATATTATTTTTAAAAATCTATTAGAAAATAAATGTTAACATTACTATTAAAGTACAATATTTAATCAGATAAATATTAAGATGTGATAAAATAATATTATAATTGTTTTTAAAAAATATTAATTTTATTGTTAATAATTTTACTGTTAATCTGATTAATAAATCTAGTTTTGTTTATTTCAATATTATTTATATAATATTTAAAAAGCAATAATTAAATTATTGAATGAATAATTTTTATTTATGTATTTACAATATATTTATTATATTTATCATCAAAAAAAATTACCGCTGTATATAAAATTAAATTAATTAAATATTGTTTATTATGCTTAATTATTAATTAATATACTGTTAGTTAGTTTTACTTAATTTGTTTGAAATCAGGAAAAAAACAATTTATTTTGTTAGTATAATCACAAAAAATAATAATAAATTAATCAATATGTGTATTAATTACTAGTAAAACGGATCATCTCTTTCATTATAATTATATTTAAAAAAACAAAAACATGTTTTTCTATCTACTTATTGTTTTAATGATATACAGTATATATAATTTTTATATAATTTCAATTAATTATCTGGCAAATTGATTTTATAACTTTATATATATATATATATATATATATGATAATAACCCCCTCCAAAAATAACTACACAAATGCTACTATATATTGTATATACAGTATATTAAATAATTTATAGTTTAATACAATGCAATCGGATATAACTATAACTAATATTGCACTTAATTAATATGTGATTTAATATACAGTATATAAAATTAATATACAGTATATAATAGTTAATACCTGATTATATAAATACTAATACTAACGTACGGATTACACACATATACGGAAAGATTTAGTAATTGTTGAAACTTTTACAAAAATTATAAGCCTTTATCATCAATACATTGAATGAATTTATCGTAAATATTGTACACAAAAATATTATGTCATTTTGTAAATACTATTTTTCATCAATATTTAAGACCCAAAACCTGTTGGTAAGGGATTATAGTTTCTTCAAATGACAAATACATACACAATATTACAAACACACAACACATATATATATATAAAATTTAAATGAAAAAACTACTTATTGTTATCTACACTCATATCACTTGAATGCCATCATTCAGATGAGATTTCTAAACAATTGATTGAATTATTATATTTATATATTATAGAAAATTTTTATTATTATTACTTATAGATATTGTTATGTTTCTATTAAATTGAATCCATTTAATATTCTGGTCGTCTTTATTGTCTCAATCAAAGTGGGTGAGTAAATGAGTAAATTAGTGAGTAAGTGAATGAGTGAGAGAAAATAAGAAACAGAGAAAGAGAGAGAGAGAGAGAGAGAGAGAGAGAGAGAGATCTATCAAACAGTTGACAATATAATAAAGACTCTTGAAATATAAGATAAAAACAAATATTAAATTAATGGTGTAATTAGTTTAACTAATATTTTGATGACATATGATATAAAAATAAACTAATATCAACTCATTTGTCAAATGGATAATTGAATTAATGACATTTTGGTAAACATTTTGGTAGTGGTTTGTGTGTGTGTGTGTGTGTGTGTGTGTGTGTGTGTCATAAAGTACAGTAACTCACGATAAGTATGGCCAGATTGGGTGCATTGATGACCCACTCGAGCCAAGTGTTTGATGACGGCATTAGCCAACACTTGTCTTCATCGACAATAGGACTGACATCTTCGTACTCTTCTATAACTTCCATCAGTTTAGAGGACTCGATGTCCACTGAGGACTCATTTGTCATCGATTTGTGCAAAACACTCATTGTTTGACTTAGATTTTTGCTGAACGCCGTAATGGCCATTAGTTCGCCGCCGGAACTAATGTCAAAGCCATCGCTGACGGCTCTGCCGACTATATAGAGCAGTGTTGTGGTGGCCGGCAATACATAAGCCAGTATTATGAGTGGTGTGAGCGGTGGCTGAGTGAAGGCGTGTTTGATGAGTTGATGAAGATATAGGGCCTCATTGAACATCCAGAGATAGGTTGTCGACCGAAAGTATCGCAACAGAACAGATAGTATGAGACACAGAGAGGTTAGCACTTGAGAGGTCTGCGATTGAGTTTCACCGGCAGTCAGTAAATGCCATTTGAGTAGACATGAGACCAACGCATGAAAGAAAAGTGATGTAAATAAATGTTTGTGAAGTCGGATCCGAGACACTGATGATAGTTGTCTGAATTGTTAATGATATAATTGATTCAATTGTTAACATAATTTTAGTTAAACTAATATTTGATTATAATTATGAAAATTATTCAACAACAACAACTAATAAGTAAATTAATAAAATATTTAATAGAAAATTATTATTTAAAAAATTATTATTTAAAAAATTATTATTTAGTCAATATTTTAATTATGTTTTTCAAATATGTTTGAATTTTGTATACTATTATAATTAATATTATAATTAATCATTTTAAGTTTAATTTTAAGTGCTTGCTTGTATAGTAATTTATTAAAACACCAAGTATAGTATTTATTAAAAATATACTAAATTATTTTTCATTAAATATATAAAATAATTCCTAATTTAGATATACTAAGTAAAATATAAATATAACTTATTCATAAACCATGTTTTTCTCGACATATATTTTTTATAAAAAAAACTTTTTGAAAATTATAGAAATGCTTTAACAGTAAAAATCTAAAAATTTTAATAATAATAAATTGAAAATATGAGAACACACACACAATGTATTATTATTATTATTACTTAAAAATATAAAAAAAATTAATTTCAAAAAGTTATAATATATATATATACTGTTAGTGTAATTGTAAACCTGTGGATATTACTAATAACAATAATAGTAATTTGAGAGGCATTTATTTTTGTTGGCATTTTTTTGTTGTTATTGCTGTAAATTGAAAAAAAGCATTTACAATAACAGATAATCAAAGCAATTAAATTTGTTATATAATACTTAACATTATAGTTACTATGTATTGTTCTCTACTTTTTTTATGGCAACAATAAAAAAATCAATAATAAAAAAGACTCAAAAATAATCTTTTTCCTACAAAATTTCTCATCAGAAGCCAATTATATTTATATATATATATAAATAAATATTTTTAGTTAAAAATTGCTATTTTATTGTCGGTTAGATTCATCATATCGTATCCAATTAATGTTTGAGGTTATTTTTTTAGGGTTTAAATATATTAAATGTCTAAAACAAAATCTATAATAATAATAATAACAACAATTAGAAATAAAATAATAAAATCAAGAATATTCTTGTAGTACCAAAAATAAATGGTATTAAATGTTTTCTACTATACTGGGTATATACCGTACAGTATACAAAATATAATATATATTAATATATATATATATAATTATATTATACATACTTGTAGTGACCAAATATAAGTAGCGCTGGTATGAGTGTACACATGGATATAACATTTGTGACAATTGAGTAACGGATTCTTCCCACATATATCTGTAATAACAATGAGTTTGAGATGAGAAAAAAATCAACAAAAAACTATAGATACAAAACTATTTAATTAAAAACATCATTTAATGGACATACAAATAGTATACCACAAATATATCAATAATATTGTGTCAGTTGTATTGTTATTAATAACATGCATTATTATTATCATATTTGTTGCTTATGGCATTTTATTTTATTTTTTTTATTTTTTGTGGTTACCCCTTCCTCTCTCCCGGGGGGACACTTACATCATCGCGGGCACACATGGAGTAATTGCTCCATTCCTGTCCACTGTTGTCCTTTAAGTTAAACCAATGGCCACTTGATGTACACTCTTTTGTTGTGTAGCCTTTTTTTATTTGAGATAACAATAAAAATTATATTAAATATATCAAATTTAATGGTTCAAATAATATATATATATCAATTGTTGGACAATAAAAACTATTTTTTTATTATTATTATTATAACAATAGTTTTTTTATATATAACACAGTAGTATATTGTAAAATCAATATACAGTATATATATATACTTAAATATAATTTAACATTTTATCCATAGTTTGTAAATAGCATAACATAATGTAATAAATATCATATATGATTAGTAATATTGTAGTTATTATTATTATTATTATTATTTATATATTAATAATTATATAAGAAAATTGCCATACCTCGACATGGAGGTACCATTTGGTGCCAATAGATGTGTTTGGGACATGGTTGTCTCATTATCACATTGGGTTTGGCATCCTGTGCCCAACACGACCAGCCATCCCATGTTCGCGGACAGACCGGACGGTCGGCATCGGTGTCATCGAAATGCTGGAGCGATTCAACACAACAGTGCAGTGCATCTATAAAACAATTTTAAAAAAACAATAATCTTGAAGAATTGTATTTTTTGTTGTTGTTGGTGTCCTACCTGTGCAACACTGATGCCATTTAATCAAAAGTGATGGAGAAATGAATGTAAACGATAGCAATGATGTGGTGTTTGATGGATACGACCTATTAGTGGTCGGATCAATGAGATTACCGATTGGAGTGTATCTATAAATTTGATGAAAAACATATTGTTTAGATATATATATAGTAATATAATAAGTCATATTGATATTAGATATATAATAATAAATAAATATTATATTGCAATAAACAATAAACAAAAAATATTTTATGTTTGTCTGTCTGTGTGTAATGTTATGTCAATAATAATTTAATGAATTTAGTTGTAGTAAAATAAAAATATCAACAGATAGTATAGCAAACTAATATTTATGATAATAATAATAAATATAAATTAAAAAGATCATCAATTTTTTATTATTATATATATTTTGATATAGAGATATAATTTTTTTTATGTCAAATGATATATTTCCTATTGTTTTTTTTAATCTTAATTAATTTTGTTTATTGGTTTTTATTAGTTAATTAAATTTCTATTTGATTAAGTAATTAATTTTCTAAATCTATATAATCTTTAATTTTGTTTCATTAGTAAACTACCGGTAAATACTTAAACTATTTTTTTCGATACGATTAACAATCATGTTATTCAACTAATCAGTTGTATTTAACCAATAAATTTGGATTATCTCGTAAATTACAGTTCAAGTGTGTATTTATTTTATTTAAAAGTAATACAATTTAGTGATTACTGTCCTATAAATTTGAAAAATGAATTTTGATTGTAAATATATAATATTTTGTAAGTTAAAGTATTTCAATATAATTGAAAGTTAAGTTTATAATTAATGAATTTAATAAACGATAAAAAGTCACTTTTAAAAACAATTAACAATAAGATTATTGAAAATTTGTAAACTTTTATTTGAAATATTTTTATTAAAATTGACAAAAAGTTATCGCTTGAATTCACTAAAAATTTAAAAAATTTTAGATTTTTAAAGTCAATTAAAATTAACTGAATTATTTAAAACTACTTAATGGCTTAATTTTATTATTTAATAGATTCAATATAAACTAATACAATTATATATTATATGTAGTAAAAGTTTTATTTTAAAATTAATTATAATCTTACTTATGGCAAAAGTAAAAATATTTATCTATTTGATATATGTAAAAGTATACTAAAAATTGATACTAAAATTTTAAAAATATATATTTTTCAATATTATTTATTAAAATCAATAGCAAAAATTTATTGTTAGCCATTAGTAAAATTATAACAATAAATAAAATATTATTGAACAGATAGTCATAGTAGTGAAAATAATATACTATTGTGTACATTATGTTTGTGTGCTATAAATATATTTTATGTTTATTAAACTTTTATATAATATCAAATAATAAAATTGAAACCATTTTTGTGATATATATGTTACATTTTCAGGAAAAAATGTATAATAAAAATATTGTTTTTCATAGGTCTACAAAATAAAAAAAAATAAATGAAATTAATTGCAAAAGATTTTGAAATAACATTTTATTTTGAAAAAAACAACATTACTATCGTTGATAACTATAAATGATTTCATTTCAAATAAAAAAAACCAAATCAAACTACTGACACATCAATATTATATAAGTTATATATATATATATTGTATTAAAGTATATTATATTTATAAACCTACACTTCAAGTTTCGGTGACATTGATTTTAATTTAATCAATCATATCAATAACCATTTAATATATTAGAAAATTGACTTTTCATGTTAACAATTTTTTTTGGGCTCAATTTTTATCTAAAAATTGTTACTATAATAGTATATTTTTATTAACTTAGTAAATACAGTAGTGTTATCAACATGTAGTGTATTTTTATTTATAAAATTATATATTTATATAGTATTATATGGTATATATATATGATATTATAGGAGCTTAAGATAAAATATGTAAACTGTACTCAATAGTAATCTCTAAGCAAATAATATGAATGACTAAAACATTAATAAATATGTAATTGATTTAATCAACAATGTTTGCTGATAACAATAATTATGAATTTTGTTTCCCACATTTACACATTATTATTATTGATTAATCAATTTACATGGATAAAAACATCAATTGATTTAAGAAATTTTATGTAATTTATTTTTTTGTAACTATACATTGATAATAAATTATTATTGATAAAATTATTAAAAAAAACTATATTATTAAAGCGCTATATGTTTAATGAATAAAAATATATTTTCTATTTATTTGTTAGATATAAAATAATAAACATGGATTTTATATACTGTATATATATATATTTTAAATATATTTATATATAACTATATATATAATCTATAAGAGTGAATAAGTTTTTAGTTATATATATATGATATATCATACCATTAAGTGAATAACAAACGCAATGTAAATATTTTGCTTTTTTAATGGTAAACAATAAAAACCAATAGAATATTCTTATAAAGAGTTTATATTAAAAAAAAGCAAAAATAAATATTCATATATATATTTTTTAATAAAAATGTTTTTTTTGTTTGTTATTATTATTCTATATTTTAAAGTACACTAAAAACCATTTTACGCTATTTGTTATTTGTGACATCAATGATACTTAAGTATTAGCATATTAAGAATGATATATGCAATTAATTTTTTTAAAATAATAATAATAATTTGAGTATCAAAAATTAAAAATAAAATGATAAACACTATAAAATTATAATTGCCTCAAACTTGCAAATTAAATAATAAAAAGTATAAAATTCAATAAAAATAACATAATATTTTAGCAAGTTTATTTAGATTAAATATTAATACATACAACTATTTAAGTTCATTGCAGTGAATATAATTAATTTAATATACTATAAGTTAACGTGCATTTAACCAACTAATTAAATTATATATATATATATATATTAATTATTTAACCTAAAATTTTGTTTAAGTTTCATTTCAAAAAAATATATGAATTATTTCTATTTTTGTTTTATTTACACATTTTCTTTATCTTTAAAATCAAATACAGGTATTACTGTTATCAATAATTTATTATTTAATCAAGTTTTACATTCAGATTTTTATTTATTATTAATATTTTTCATGTTTTTTTATTTCATCTACAATACGTATAATATATAAATTATATATATATATATACATAGTATTTCATTTAAAATAAACAATAGATACTGTATAAAATATACAGTAAAAATAATAAATGCATCAGCATAATAATTATAATAATTTAACTAATAAATGATATAATAATAATAATAAAAAATATCAAATTAAATATACAGTATATACTTTCATATATATTTATTAGTATAATATGACATACTATTCACAATGAAAACTGTCCAATAATGACACAATAAGTATGAAAAACAAAAATTTTGTCTCAAAAGTTTAGATTACAAAAAAAACATAAAAATGAATTTTTCTCGTTGTTATAGTTATTGTTGTTGTTTTTCATTGAAATTTAATATATTCTTTGAATGATAAAAATAAATCTAAAAGAAAAAACATCGACTCAAACACAAAATTATAATTTACTTTTTGTATAATAAAAATAATTATAATGTTATAACAAGTATATAATTAAACAACACAGTCTGTGTGTGTGTCAAAAAAAATATATTAATAATTTATAAAATTGAATTAACTTTTTTAGATGAAAATCTGTATTATTTATATTTTACTGTTACATAATACAGTAAATATAAAAATATATATATTGTTGTATAAAAATAGTCGCAAAAAAATAACATTAGCTTTTAATTGCTAATAATAATCAGAAAAATTCTATTATTAATATTAATATAATATTATTATTTATTATTATTATTATGTATAATTTATAATATTTTACACTATAAAAACAATAAATATAATTTTTTTTTAAAAATATTTTACATATATTAATAATTACAAATTTATGAACTAATGTATCGAAAATATTAATTTATTTTTTTGAGGCAATTAATAAAATTATAAATTATATAATTTGTTTGAGTGACGTTAGATTTTTAAAATTTTTAAATATGCGACTATTTTAGTGATAAACTTTGACACACAATAACTATGTTTTTATTTTGTCTTGTCTTCAAATAATTATAATTGTTAATATAAACTAAAAGATTTATTTAGTTTATTAATGTTATAAATTAGTTTTAAGGGTTTTTTCTCTATAAATAAAAACAATTGTTTTTTTTGAAATTATAATAAACAGTCTTTTATTATAACAAAACAATGTTTATCTATAGTTATTTATAAGGCCTTTATGTTTAAAATTAATTTTATTGATATGATTCATTTAATAAATCAAAATAGTGTTTTCAATATCAAAACACATACAATAACATAATAAATTATAATATATCAAACCCAGGGAGGATAGGGATCAACAACTGGGAAATTGATGCTCATATTGTATGTGTGTGTGTTGTATAGTAGTATCCTTTTGTATTATAATAGTGGTATTCGTAATGCATTGTGTGTGTGTGTGTGTGTGTGTGTGTGTGTGTGTGTGTGTGTGTGTATGTGTGTGTGTGTGTGTGTGTGTGTGTATTATACATACAGTATAATAAACATATGTATTTATACATAACCGTTATGATAGCTTGAAAACTTTATGATTTACGAGACACATACACATAAGTACATGTATATACAGTATATATAAGAGATATGGTGCTATTATTAGCGTCAACATTGAAATCTACATGAGCTAGAAATGGCATTTTTAAAATAAACACTATCTCTACTACTAATAGTATAAAAGTATATAACAATTTGTATTCAACAATCTCTCTCTCTCTCTCTCTCTCTCTCTCTCTCTCTCTCTCTCTCATAGTATATTATATACAAAATTATATGTAATTTTAACTATAATTTCATTTATTGATTGATGTACCAAAAAATTTACTTTTAAAAATATTTATCGTCAGAAAATTGTTTAAATTACTATACAATTTAATTGCACACGACTTTAATTAAATAAATAAGTTTTGTATAAAACAGAGTAATACAGTCTAATTTCATATTAAACATTATAATACATGTTTGAAATATTTGTATTTGTTATACCAAATGTTTTATATAATGTTTTATTAATAATAGTAGTAATAATTAAATTTATTGTTAATTAAAATGTCATTTAGTATAAAATATTTCCTAAATGTTAATTAAATAAATTTTTCAAATTAACTCAAGATATTTAATATTTTATTAATTTGTATATAAAATTTTTTTGATGTAAATCAATTAAAGCTTAAATTATAGATATTATTATTATTATTATTTCGTGTTTTATTAATAAACTATAAATATCGAGCTATAAATATATACATTTGACATAAAAACATATAATACATATGGATTTAATGCTAATTTATAAATATCGCACAAATACTGTATACAATGTATTACTTAATTAATAAATATAATAACATTAATAACATAGTTTAAGTTATTTGCTTTGCAATCCCTAATAACTAACATTAGTTTCTCCGGAATCTTATGTTTAGAGGAATTATTATTATTAATACTATTCTCTCGTATATTTCAATATAAAATAAAACTTATATAATAATAACCATTATTTTTATTAGTATTAGTATTATTATTAAATTGGTTAATTATAAACTAATCATAAAGTTAAAATAAACCATAAATATAAGGTATACACTTATTATTATTTTTGTTGTTGTTATTAGATTAAATGAAAATTGTTTGCCATCCAATTATCTCTTAAACAATAAACATTTTTTTGTAAATTTCAATATAAAAAATAAAATTTATATTTATATAAAAAAAAATTCATTAATATAGTAATCATAAATATAGTTATCGTAATCATTTTTTTAAAATAAAAAATAACATTTAATAATTTTATACTAATAAATTAATTGATTAAATAAGCCAAAATATATATATATATAGAAAAATTATTTAATTAAATTATATTCAAAAAATTTCAGTCAATAGTTTTACTGTTTGTTTATTTAATTTTCATAATTATTGTGCAAAATATGTTACTATTAATAATAATAATAATATAAAGTTTCCCGGATTTGTGCAACAAATGGCAAATGTTTTCAATCACTACAATTGGCATATAATTGGCAAATAGATAAAATAAATTTTTATAGTTATTTTAATAGTGATTTTTTTAATCATTAAATAACATATCAATAAATTTATTTACAAGAAAACAAAAATATAATCAGTAAAAATCTCGTTATTATTTATTATATAATATTATATATATATTAGTTAAATGTTTTTTAAATCAATTTTATTTTCTTTTTGTTTATCATTTTAGTAATAATATACAATAGAAGCCATAAAATACAGATTACTAATTCAATAGACAGATAAATTGATTGGGAAAATACATCAAACATAACAAATGTATTAATGTTTGACATATGATATACAATAATTTATTTTGGCATTTATGACAACAAAACCTAAATATATATTTTGTTTGTCTATCTATTTGTTTGTTTGTGTGTTTGTATTGGTTATCATAGCATTAAAGTACACAAACTAAATATAAAAGTTAATAAACTAAAATAAATAAATAATTTTTTTTTTTAATTCACATTTCAACGAATACATACATAAATTTCAAATCATCTTTGAAGGCCGTATCGGGCATATAGTTATAACAACGGGCACAGGTATCCAATACATAGAGATCATATGGCAAACGAAGCCCTGTTTCTGTACGACACCATTTCTGAGGCGATTCTGTCTAAAAAAATACAATTAAAAACAAAAATTTTAATATACAGTATTATAATTAAATAATTGATTAATTATAATAACAATAATAATTAATATTATTATTAAAAAAAATAATTCAAACATGCATTTTCTTTTGAATAACTCATAAACATATCTATATTAATATTTTTTATGGTAATTGTAAATTGAAAATTATATACTGTATAATATAATATGGCATTATGATATGTTTTATTTAAAAAAATAAAATAAAATAAAAAACTATTTTTATTTCATATTTTTTTGTTATCTCCATTATTATATAACAATATTAAAAAAGCAAATTATTTAACAACAAAAAAACTATAAAAATACTGTATAATATATGATTAACAATAGTATCCAATTTTTTTTGTATAATGCAATAATTTTAGTCGTCAAATAATATTAATATCATTTTATAATATATCGGTTTATATATATATATAGACCCACATATGTAACAATAAAACAGAAAAACAATTATTAAATATAATGTAAGTAAAATACAATTTACTATCTATTAATATTATATAAACATTTTATCAACTAATAGATACTACTATTATTATTATTGTCAATTTGTGTATACAATTTCTGATATATACAAATAATTATTCAACAGTTTTAGTGAAAGAGACAAACAAATAGTTGGATAATCATTATGTGCTAATCGTTTTGCTGTAGAAAAAAATTAATAATAAAAATTAATGAAAATATTACACACAACTAATACTATTTTAACCCAATTTTATAGATTATTTTTGACAGAATAAAAACCATTTGGAAATAAAAATCTTTATTGAACTTAAAATCATTTTTGTTAATATTAATAATAAAAAATAATCCTCAATATATTATTGACAATTTTCTAGTTGTTTTTTTACTATTATATTAAATAATTTTTTAGAAAAAACTATAGTTTTAAACAGATTGTAATCACCAAACTAGAGAATTGGTGTTATATATATGTATTTATTATAATTTATAAATATATAAGTTATATATATATATATATATATATATATTAATATATTTAGACTATATTATTAAAATTATATAATAAAAATATACAGTATTTATAACCATAAAAGCTAGCTTTTATGTTAGTTTATATATTTAGCTCAAGAATTTACTAAAATAAATAAAAAGTGATATTTGAGTGATATTTATATATATTTAAATAAGACAAACATGTTTTTCCAATCGGTTTTGTTAAACATTTTTAATTTTAGCTGACTATCAATACAAATGATAATTTACAGCACATCAATAATAATAATAATAATAATAATAATAATTTTCAATATATACATTAAGAAATTTAAGCAACAAATAAATTCAACAAATGTTATCTAAATGTGTAAGCAATGTATTTAGTTATTTATTTATTTTTTAAATAACAACAAAATAAAATGTTTAGTTAAACCAATAATATCTTACCAATTGAGCAGTAATTGAGTCAAAAATGATTGTTTGTAGCGAACATACAAAATAAAAAACTTTTAAACATTTATTAAAATTTGGTGACATTTGTGATGAAGTACTTTCAAACAAAAAAAACTATTTATATTTTATATATATTTATCCAAACAAATACTTCAATAACTAGTACTAAACATTGAGAAAACATTATTGAAATATATAGATAAAAAATATTTTCATTTATTCAATATAATAACACATATGATAACAACAGTAAATAATTAAATTAAAATCTCAACAAATTATATATATTTTTTTAATATTAATAATATTATTATTATTATTACTTTTTATACATAAATATTAAACATTTCTCTACTATAAGTGGTAAAAAATCTTTAGCATTATTAAAAACTAAGAGCAAATATAATATTTATTTTGCTGAAAAATATTTTCACTAAATATTTTCTTTTATATTATTATTACTATTTTTATAAAAAAAATATAGCAATGACTTAAAAAATAGTTAAGTCGCAGGAATTAGTCATTTGGTGGTTTAAATGACACGAAAAAATGTTTAATAATATCTTTTGACTTAACTTACACACCAAAAAAATAATAAAATAAAAATAAATAAATAAAATAACTGGCGATGAATTTTATCGGTTGAAAACAACATACATATAGATAGATATACACTCTCTCTGTGTATGTATATATATATTATATTAAATGAACAAATATTTATGTCAAACAAATTGTTTTCATTAGGATTACACCACACCAAACCATACTGTATGTGTGTGTACACAGAGATAAGTTATGAACTGTTAGGCATACGATATTTTGGTGACGATAGCCATAAGACACCGATAGTTAGAGACACAGAGTATGAGAGATGAGATGAGATGAGAGAGAGAGAGAGAGAGAGAGAGAGAGAGAGAGTCAGAGTCACGCACTGTAAGGGATGCTATGTTAGCATTGATTGCACTATAACTCCTGTATTTCAAACCGTACGAGCAATTGGATAGTCTGTTGAATAGATAGAAATATATGAGAGAGAGAGAGACTGGAGATTCTGTAGCACAGAATTATACGGTTGTATATGTTTTTAAAGAGACTGCGCTTTTATAGTACAGTAAAAACTGATTGTTTTCTATGAAATGACAAATTTTTTTTTTTACTTTCAAACGCAAGTTTTTTTTCACTACACATTAGTACTGTACTATTGAATAGTAATAAATGCAAAAAAAATCGACTCATTTAACTCGTATTTAACGATAATTTTCGCTCTCGTTTTTTTCCACTTAAATAAAAGATATATTTATATATATATATATATGTATTTACAGTACATTTGAAGGCTATGAATTTTTTGAGTTGTATACATTCAATAATTATTTAAAATATTATTTGTTTGCTTAAGTTTTCATTTTCATAAAAAACCGTTTCCATACAATTTTTCCATAAAAATATATATTGATATATATTTATGTTATATCATATATACAATATATTTTATATATAACCTTATATATATATATATATATATATATATTGTTTGTTTTTGACATTTAAGCGCTTTGGGCATTATATCATAAATATATTATATATTTACTAGTTTTTCTGAATTTTTTAACAACATTTTTAGTTTAATAAGATTAGTAACGTATATATATACAGTATAAATTTATATATTAAATTGTAGTATTTATTACATTTATATATATTAGCATTTATATAAATTTTAATATTTTAAATATTATTTTCTTTTAAATAACTTAAGTATATATAAAATATAAAAATATTAGATAAAACAACTAAATGTTTTATTTGAATCTAAAATTGTTTTAATAATCAATACTAAACTTTTTTTTATTTACAAATAAAATTATTTATAATTTTTATCAAATTAGGCAAATAATTTTAAGATCTAAAATTAATTAATTATTTATTTATTGTAAATATTATAATAATATAATAAAAATAATAAAATATTTATAATTATTACAATATTAATAAATAAACTCAATCTAAATAACTAAGTTTTTCATTTGTGATTTATGATTCATGTTATATTTAAATTATTTACATAATCATTAGCCACATAAAAATATGTACTGTGTAAATAATTTAATTGATAACATATATTAAATTTTATTAATAAATAATTTATATATAATATAATTCTAATAATAATAATTTTTATAACATTTTTTCAATAGTACTAATGATGTTAAAAATTGATTTAAATTATTAAGAAAAATACTAGACATATTGTTTAGTAATTTTTAATTAGTAATGAAAACTGACTTAATTTCTATTAGACTTTATAATTAATAATATTTTATCAAAAAATAAATTTAAATATTTATTTGACAAATGAAACATTATTACAATAGATGATAACAAATATTTTTATCAAATAAACTCTATTGTAATATCATTTGCTAATCAGCAAACAGTGATATAATGAAAAGTCAATTATGTTAATCAAATATTAACATAAAATTATGTTATTGAATAACATTCATCTAACAAATAATACGATATATATATATTAATACAATTTGCTTAACATTTTTAACTTGCATTTCAATTGAATTTTTGTTATATAAATTAATTTGTTTACAAAAATTAAATAAACAAATCAATGAAAAGTATTTTTCGAATCAAATAACAAATAGTCTGTTAATATACACATTAGTTATCGACACAGAAATCTATATATAATATATGAGATGATATGTAAATATGTTTATGAAAAAAAAGTGTTTCACGTTTCAGAAATTGCCTATAAATATGTTTATTTTTCAAATAACATTTAATCTTATAACCAATTTTTCAATATATATTTATATATGATATATACTGTATATTATAAATAATATTCAATATATATTTATCCATTTGAAGTATTATATTTGAGTTACTCAAATATATATACATTCAAACATTAATAAATATTTAGGAACTTATATATATATATATTGGACATAAATAATATATAAAATTAATTAAAAAAAACTAATTTATTATCTTAGTTTAGTAAGTTATAATTAAGACTAATAAAAAAATATGATAAACCAGTATATTATAATTTATAAAGTACAGTATTAATTTTATTACATATATCAGACAAATTATATGCAATATTTATTACCTGTTTGCTATATATATATAATATATATAACTTATATATATATAAATAAAAAATAATAAAATATGTGTAAATAAATAACTCGGATAACTAATAACTACATTTTTGTCAATCAAATGTCACATTATGTTTTGTAAATAATTAATTTTGATTACATTTATCACTAGATATATGTTATACTACTGTATACTTATTTCAATATATTGTAGATCAAGACAACTCGTTTAACTTAACCATTAACTATATGTACTCAAAGTCATGTTTGTTAGAGGGGTCAGTAAAACTCTGAAACAACAACAAAAAACATTAATAAATAAATAAATTTTAATTTCAGTGTAATATAATAATAAATTAACCAACAACAAAAAAACAAAATTTCTACTAAATTGTCTAATTTTTATTGTAGACAAACACACAAGTATATGTCTAAAACTAGTTTAAATATATATATATATATATATATAGTATATTGTATAATATAATCTAAATTTATTAATATAATATTAATAGTATAGTAATAATAATTATATAAATTAAGGCACCTGTTATTTTTTTGTACTATTAAGACAATAAAACTTAAATATATATATATTTTTAAGAATTAATAAATCCTAATTATAGAATATGTCATAAATTATTACTTTATATACACTATAAATAAACATTTATAAAAAATAAATATTTGTATTTTTTATTACTAATATTAGTATAACTTAATAAACCTGTATGAATTAAATGAAAAGTAATATTTTTTCAATATATTATAATTATAAAGCTAATTATTTTATATATTTGTGAAAACAAAAGTATATTCATAGTTTAACATTAAAAATTTTTAATTACTTATTATTATAATTTTTAAAATATTACTTTTTGGTTTTTTTCTTAAATTATATGGAAATTATTAAATTATGATCTAAATACTTATAGATTAACATTATAATAATTACAATCAATATATTTTTATTATAATTTTGTCATTTAACGATACTAAGCATATCAAATAAACAAATTAAATTATATTTTATGACATTTAATACATTGTTCACAAATAGCAGCAAATTGTATAAATCAATGATTTATTAAATTATTGTAATTGATATTATAATTAATTAGAATTTAATCCATAATAAACATAACGATAATATTAATATTTATAGATTATATTAAAATTATTATTAGTCAAAATTAACTTTTACAACAATAATAACCATTAGAAAATATCTTTTAAATACAATACAATTATTATATTCAACAATTTTCTATCAAATAAAATAATTATATTTTATACATTTTTGTTTTTTATCATGAGTTCTACAATATTTTCATTTACATCAACAATAATAATAATATTAATAATAATAATAATGATTATATTATTGTTTTAATACTAAATATAAAGATAAATCCAATAATAATAAAAAACAAAACAAAAATCAATTTTTATGACTCTCGACGTTGTGATTATAAATAATGAAATAACTTTGAGATCTTTCGTATCATTTATTAGATTATCTAATAACAAAAAAAACATACATATCATCACTATTAAGACACATAAAAGTTGATAAAATACGTCAAATAACATATACTATATATATATACTGTATATATATATATATATATATATATATATATATATGATATTATATTATATATATTGTCTGCATATAAACAAAGTGATGATTACAGTACTTTAGTTTGTTGTCATCGTAAACCACATTATTATTATTATTATTAAAATAAGTAAAATTATGTTAAAAACGGTTAACCATTGATAATAGTTTCTATACAATATAATAGTGTGTTATTATTATTATATATAAAAAATATAAGTATTATGTTTAAAGAATATAGCAAAAATTTAGTATTATTATTATAAGTATA